GGGGGGGGGGGGGGGGGGGGGGGGGGGGGGGGGGGGGGGGGGGGGGGGGGGGGGGGGGGGGGGGGGGGGGGGGGGGGGGGGGGGGGGGGGGGGGTCCCATACTTATTCTTCAGATAAAGTGAATGCATAAAGAACCCAATAAACTTATGGCATGCAACATTAGTTTGACTCACCTACAGAAACAGACCCTATCCAGGTCACATCCGAAAATGAACAATATCGATTCATTCGAGAGGAAGATGTCAATCAACAAGCAATGACCACTACTTACATTTTGAGAATTGGCATCGCTTCCTTCACTTGAACCTTCGCTGGCACTCTCAGCACTACAAAAATCAGGTCAGATTCACATCACCCAAGGATCCAATTGGCACATCAATAAAATTGTGTAGGACTACAGTCCTAAAGAATGTGGTGCGCCCCCCCTGCCTCACCACAATAATAATAGAAGCATACACCAATTATTATTCTACATAGGCAATTTCTAGAAAAGTTAGACAACCTCTTAGAGTATGCTCCATTGGCAGATGTTCCAGATGTTTTACCGAGCTCATTATTCTTCCCTGTAATCATGTTCAAACTGCCCAAACTTCCTTTTGATCTTTTAATTGGCAGCTTTTCCTTCACTTCAGGTAGCTTAACGTCTCCCTCCAAACTGCCTGCGGTATTACCCTATATACGTCTTCACATGTCATTTTTATCCGCTTAAAGACAATGATACCTGTCATAAAATAAGGAGGAAACTCACAGAGGCCTCAGTGATGCCATTTGGAGAAGGCATTGCAAATGGGCTAAAAGGATATGATCCCTATTATACACATAGGAATATAGCATACAGTATTAAGCAAATCCGTCAGACAAAAGGATAATAGAAGTTTTAAACATAAAAAAAAGGTAAAATTAGAATGCCCAGAAATACCGGGGGAATGGACGGATGAGCGTATATGCCACCAGGTGGATACATTGCAACATATGGATGTGGAGGCGTGCCATAAGGAGGCATAATATGCTGTAGATAAAAACCTACGTTTAGATAAATACACAACGCATTCCTTCCCCAAAAGCACAAGGCCATATTCCTTAAAGTACTGTCACGAATATTGTATGTAATGCATCATACAGTTATCAGAAATGGCATGAACCATTACAGCACTCAACTATACGTAAACAATACCAAACAAGAAGTTCACTCAAGAGACACGGGCTTCATGTTAGTATCCCCAAACACATCAATAGCACCATAATTAAAATAATAATAAAAACAAGAAAAAGAGGAAGAGTGCTATAAAAACAGATTTCCAGTCCAGTCAGAATATATGTGGGTCAACAAGCAGACATAATAGACCAAAAAAACCAGTAGATGTACCTGAACTCCCCACATATATGGGTGGGCTTGAGGGCTTGATGCCAAGAAACCATGAGGAGGAATAGGAGAATATGCCTGAAAACCAAAAAAGATATATATACATAATGATCTAACCACAATGCCATCCCAACAAACAGGATTAAACTAAAAGCTATTGCCCCAGGGTAACCTGAAAACCTGACCAATCAGGATTAACTGCGCCGGCGCTTGTGGTTGAAGTCTGCTCCTGTAAAACGATTACAAGAGATTATCATACATGAGGACAGACTTTAAAGAAAATGAAATAAACACTAAGAAACTGTAATTTAACATTTTCAGTGACGTTTGATAGAAAAAATTTAGGTAACAACAAGAAGACACAATCAATTAGAATCTCTGAGTACATACTTTAAAGAAAATGAAACAAACACTAAGGAAATGTTTGCTCATATGTATTTGTTTCTGTGATAGAATTTTTAAACATGTAATACGAAATTCGATCTTGAAATTACTTTCTCAACCCATAATTTTATTTAAGAACAACTCGGTCGTTACAGGAAACGAAATTCTCGTGGAAAACAAAGAATGAGCTATATAAAGCACAGTAAAAAGAAAAACAAAAATCACTTACAAAAGTCAAATAAAATAATATGCAACTCAAAATCAGGCCTAAATTAAACCTGGGTAGTAGGAGGCGGTGTCTTCGTCTCCTTGTCTTTTGGTGGTTTCTCCATCTCACTGCCACTCATGGTTCTGCTTCACCATCTTCCTGCCATCCCCCAAGCCTTCCAATAACACGAATCCTAATCTTTACAAGACTGTAAACTGACCGAGCCGCAGCCACTCCCTAATGGATTTCCTTGAACATAAACAACAACTTCAAAATTTTAAATTCCGGTACAAACTGAATAAGAAGAGAAAAAAAAAAAATCTATATTTTCGTTCCCGCAATTCAAAATTTCATTTGTGTGTTCAATTTTCTAGCAAAACAAACAGAAAACGCATAAATTTGAAGGAAAACAAGCACGCTATCCGGCCCTAGCATGCATGAAGCTGAACAATAACCAACATAACCAAAAACCCTAACAGAAATTTGAGAGGAAAACAAAAGCACGAAAACACACAATTCAAAATTGAACAAGAGTGAGCTTTTTACTTACGAAAAATCGAAACCTCAAACCCACTGGGAGGAATAATTCGAGACTCAATTGAAGGAGCCTCGAAAGGTGATCAAATGATAAAGAGGAGGTTTGAAACAGCAGCGATGGCGAAGGATCGAATGGAAAATTTAGGGAATTGGGCGAGGAGGAACTTCGAAAAGATTCAAGAATTTTTTTTTTCTTGAAAAACTGAAAAAAAAAAAATGGAAAGATCAGAAGTTGAACACGGGAGATTGACGATGAGAGTCTTCGTACGGCGTTACAGTCTCTCTCTCTCTCGAAGAAAATTCGCGAAATCGCCGTCTCGCCCCTCAGCCTCAGGGCATGAGCCACTCGATTTTCTCTCTCTTTCATTCCTTCGGCATGACGGGGTTCATGGGCTGAAGCCCAAATCTGTCTTCTTTCGGGCCCTGATTAATGGGCTTGGCCCATTCTTTCATATTGACATTCCTTCGGCATCGCCACTCGTGGGCTGAAGCCCAGATCTGTCTTTCCTTCGGGCCCTGATTAATGGGCTTGGCCCACTATTTTCATTATTATAATTACAATTTTAGTATGTGAATAATGATTTGATTTGAGCATAATTTTGGTGTATTTTGTTGGTTTTATTAATTAATGATTGAAAGCTGACCTGGCAGCGTGCATTTAGGCAATAGGAAGAAAATCATATCTGATCCCTTGTGGATATCTCTTCTCACCAAATAAAAAATAATAAATAAAAAAAGGTTGTATTTTTGCTTTTAGCGCATTCTGTCTCTATCTCACGTATTTGGTAGCTTTAACCTCAGACCTTATGGGTCCCACTTCCACACTTAATTACTGCCATCCACGTGGCTGTCATTAAAATCACCTCGTCGTGGACTGCCCCACCCACCTTTTAGTAATTCTTCCATTTTTAATATTCAAATTTACGACTCTCTTAAAATATATTTTTTTTTTTAATCTTAAAAGATTTATTAAAATTTTTCAATAAAATCTTTAAAAATAGTCTAAATAAATATATATAACATGCGTACATTATCTCAAAAATACTATTTAAATTTAAAAGTTTTATTAATATTTTCGACCTTTTAAATCAACTATTTCATTAAAAAGATACTCATTAAAGTTTAAGTAGTATTAATATCATAACTTATTATTATTATCTTAAATTATCCCAATTTCTAATTTTAAAAAATTTATTAGTAGAAAGATTATTTTTTAAGTTTTTAAAATGTTTTAAAAAAAATAATTTTTTTTTTTTTTTTTTTACTTAAAATACAAAATTTAATGATTTTTTTATTTATTTAACCTAAAAATTTAAAATAATATAAAATATATATATTTTAAGAAGTCCGCCTTTTCGTATTCTGCTCAGTTCTTCGTGCCTTGGATTCCCACGAAGACACTTTGGACCCATCTTCGGCGGTGCTGGACAAAAATTCCCGGCAACTGACGATCTTTGGACCAATCTTCTTTGTAGAATCCCATCCGTCGTTGTAGAACTCCAAATGTTCGATCTATTCGTCACCATTTCTCCGTCGGCGTTGGCAATTACAATTTCGACATCGACTTTCAAGAACTTTCGAGTGCCTTCTCATTCGCAATTACATTACGATTTCCGAAGAAGAATCTTGATTCGGATTATATCTTGTGGTTTCTTGATTCAATTGTGCCAGGAAATTTATCTTGATTTTGAGTAAATTTTGAGAATCGAACAAGTCGGCGCCTCTCTGTATTTTAGGGCTTTTCGGTTTCAAGAACGCAATCGATTTCTTTAATTCGAGCGATGCAAAGAAGGTTAATCGAACCAAAACGAATCTCAGATATGAACTGAATAAAATCAAAGCCGTAAACTAGCATTTCGATGAGATTCTCTAACCTTTTCATTCGAGATCGTTTTGCCTGATTCTAGAGGCTGTCGGCGCCGGCCTGAAATTGCCGGAAGTGATCGTCGGTCGCCGGTAATTGCTGTTCCGGTGCCGCCAAGGTCTGAACAGTCTATCGTGGGATTGTTATACGCGCACGAACAGTCCGCGATATTTAATAAATAAATAAACTATTTATTTCCCTTTTCTTTTTTTCTTTTATCTATTTTAATTTTTAACATAATAATTTTTCATTCATCCAATACAAATTTGACACGTAAGCAAGTTTTAGTCTAATGGATAACTTTGAAGTTTGAAATTTGTTTACACTGTTCGGAGTAAAACAGTGGTATATGGATGAACTGGGACAGCAGATGATGATGAGTGAAAACAAAATATTTCGGGGTCTGTAGAATTGTCTTTACAGTTAGAAACAATGAGTAAATAAGGTGACCATTTAATAAAGATGCAGCAGAGTGTGGTTCATCGGAGGTCAAAATTGTAGTTTAAATTTTCTATATATATTGCTAAATAAAATTTAAATTTAGATTTAAGATTAAACCCGTCATATTCCATATTTTAAAAATATAAAAAAAAAAAAAAAAAAAAACTAAATTTAAATTTCAATATTCAAAAAAGTGTTTCACCTTTTCTATTGCTTTTCCACCTCCCAATTTCTTCCCTTCTCGTAATGTTGTCATTTTCATAATAATTCCCCCACTCACGTTTTTAATGATGAGCTGTGAAGCGTGGGAAGGTCGATTTCACTAAATAATTTATTTTTATTAAACATAATATTTAACCAACCTATTAATTTAAAATACAAAATTTAACTTTTTTAAGCTATATATTTAGGAAAATGATAATAATTCAACTAATTACTGATAAATATTAAAATATTTAATAAATAATAAATAAATGGTTAAAAATATATAAAATAAAGTGTTTTTTTGTTACATGATTATTGTTTAATTAGCTTCAAATTAATTTTGATTTTTAAGTAACTAAAATTACAATTTATTAAAAGTAAATAAATTTAAATTAAAAAATACAAAACTAAATAAATTAGACTGAAAGTAATTACTTAAAAAAGGAATTAAAAGAAAATGTTATTAAATTGAAGTCAAATGACATTAATGAATAAATGGTGCAAACTAAAATTATAGCGTCAAAGTTAACGATACCGTTACCGTCAAAATCGAGATGATTTCCCACGCTCTACGAAGCGCTTTGAAACAGCAATTCCATGGTACCAGATATCTTGGTCGTGTCCGCATTTAAGGCCACGCGCTTCATAGGCGCGTGGATTACTTCAACGAAACCGTCTGTTTAACATTTGGGACCCACTTCTGTCTTTATCCCCCCCTCTTCCTAATCAAAATTCTCTCTTATTTACCCTCTAAATCGAGTAGTTTTACTTCTATATATAGTTATTGTGAGATCACATATTGGTGAGAGACGGAAACAAAACATTGTTTATAGGGATGTGAAAACTTATCTCTAATCTAAAATTGTGAGGTGCGAAACATAACAGACCAAAACGGACAATATCTGCTAGTGGTGGGCTTGAGCTGTTACAAATAGTACAAAACCAAATATTGGGCAGTGTGTTAGTGAGGATGCTAGATCCCAAAGGAGTGGACCGTGGGATTTCTCATCGATTTGAGAGGGGAACAAAGCATTCGTTATAAGGGTGTGAAAGTATCTCATTAGACGTGTTTTTTAAACTATGAGGTTGACAACAATACGTAACGGGCAAAAGCAGATAGACAATATCTACTAGTAGTGGACTTTGGTTATTACTGCTGTTGAAAAACAACTACATCGAGAAAGGCACAACTAGTAATTAAAAGAAAATATTTTTTTAAAGAAATTAAAAAATAACTATAATCAATTGATATATAGGATAAGAATTAACAATATAATAGTTTTAGTGACGTGGCAAGATTTTTTTAATATTTTTAATACAAATATTTCGGCGAGTTGTAACATAACTCAATTAGTAATTATGTATATTTAAAGTAAATATATATTATAAATATAAAGTAAAATATTTATTTATTTTTATTTTTTTTATAGATATTTTAACCGGATTGAGATTTGGACATTAGTTCAAAAGGTGGGTTAGACGTCTGTGAATTTGGCAATAGCCTTACACCCATTGCTCTCTCACCATTTTTGTTCTCTCTCCGCACTCCGTACTGTATTTCATCTCTTTCTCTCTCTCTCTGGAAGGGGCTTCGTCTTTTCTTCTTGCGTTCATGGTGGTGGGTTTCGCAGAGGCTTTGCCTTTTGGGTTCCAAAAGCCCCAATCAAACCTCAAAAAGCCATCTCTGTGGCTTCCTTCGCTTCGCAATCTCAACGATTCGCTTTCATTTTGTCACTTTCCTCGTCCATTTCCATTTTGACTCTCTCTAAAAGCGAAACTGTTTACTCTTCAAAAGGTTGTTTCTCTCTCTAGTTTTCCCTTTTTTTTTTCTTTTTTTTTTTTTTTTTTCTATTATCTTCTGGTAAAATAGTCTTCGCTTTGAATATTTGATTCTTGTGGATTTGTTGGGCGTGCTCTGCTGTTCTTTATCTTTTTGTTTGTTTATAATTTGTTTGACTCTGATTTTTTCAACTCTTGGATTGTAGAGCTGCGTTCGTCTGCCTTTTTCAAGGTTTTGAAAACTATTGTTTGATTTGCGTTTTGGATGTCCTGATTTTGACTGGAAACTTCGTGATCGAAAACCTTGATGAATGGAGCCTTCTGATTTTGAATTTTTCTTAGCATTCTGTTCTTTCTCTTGAAATTTTGAGTTTGATTTCTGTCATTGATGTGATTTGGTTGAACTAGGAACGATCAATCCAGGCTCTGGTGAATGTTTTTGTCGGAGTCTTCTTCGTGTCAGGATTTGTGTTTATATCTCTTGCCATTGTCTCTGTTGATTGAGGAGATGATTAAGCTTTACTCGTGGATGCTGTTGTAGGGAACCAAATATAAAATTTGAGTTCTTCTATCTCAAAAAGTGTTCAGAAGTTTGGATTTAGTACTCCGCTGTAAATCTAGCAATATGTCGGTCGAAACCGACAGAAGGGGGGGAAAAAACTGGAAGGAACTGGTGAAGAAGATGCTCCCACCTGGAGCATCTCTCCCTGAAAGTGCTAGCGATCTAGATTACTCTATAGCTATGGAGTACGAGGGTCCACCAGTAGTCCATGACGTTCCAAGAATCGAACCGCTTGACGTAAATTCTCGTTCAATTCCAGTTGCTGAACCTCTTTCTGAATCCCAAAGGTCCATTGCAAAGGACGGTCCTCCAACGATTGAACCAATTCCTTTGCCTGTCTCTCGTATTGTTGGCGTCACAAGTTCGCCTACTCAGAGCCCAAGGGCATCAGGAAGTTCAGAGTCTGTAGTATCTGTCTTGCAAAACCATGATTTTTCTTCAGCTTCACCTTCTGTCTCCCCAGCATCAGTTCACAACCCACCTAGCA